TCATCACTCATCAGGAAAAAAGAAGAAGATTTCTTTAGTCTTTGTATTGATATGCCAAACAAGGGATTCCATCTAGTTTTTGGATGGATGATGTAACAGAGTAATTGAGAAAGACAAGGAACACACGTTTTGTGGCTAATTAGGCAAGACAAAGGAAACCTGACCAACATTCTATATCTTGATTATCTGTTGCTGTGCTCCTTGAACCTGATATAAGATTTTCTCTAACTTTGTTGAAGGCTTAAGGGTTGAGTTGGTCTTTGACCAAGGTTGCAGTACTTTTCTCTATTGGTCGCATTTCTATTTAGAAAACTACAAGTCCTTTTCCTTTTATTTAAAAAAAAGTAAACTATACAATCTGGTTTGATGCATAAGCTATAGTTGTTGGAAGACTGTTTCTGTAACGACACTGAAGTTCAAGATCATGCTAGTTGTGAGTTAAACTTGACATCACAAGTTAAGGTGATGTTCAGCATGTAGTCTGCTACATTAAGCATGTTCTTTTATCATGAAGTTTTGGTGTGTTTCTAAGACATGGAGCTTTGGTGTCAGCTTTGTTGCAGAAGGCTCTAGATCAACCACATCCTGAAGTTGTTGAAGATGCATTGGATTTGCTTGTTCATATGAAAGCATTAGAAAAAACATCTCCAAGGGGCCGGTATGAGCCGACATTTTATGGGAGGTTGCTTTCCAGTTTGTCATTGTCTTTTGATGCTTCTCTGGTTGTACTCAAGTTTGGAGACATTGGAATGCTGCGTGAAGGCATTCTTCTGGGCATATTAATGGACACACAACCTCTACCTATCCTTCGTCCTTTTGGAGATGAAATTTTGGTATTAACTGTTAAATGTATAAATTTTGTAGATTTTGGATTTGCTTGATTGCTTGATTGCTTGAGAATTGACCTTTGATTTAGTTAATTCTACAATTCAGTTTGCAGAATATGCTGACAGCTACTTTTGTGGAGATGATGGCAATACTGGCCTAACTGGTAGGAAGGAGATGGTATTCATGGCAAACTTGTGTGCATTTCAATTTTGGCAACGTGTTTTCAAGGTATATTGTACATGAACTTTCACAATGCTTATTAGTGTGCACGTACATTTGTAAAGCCCACTGGGAGTACATTTTGTGTATGATTTAAACATTTTGCTTTACCCTAAAGGATAACCACCGTGTTGAGCATTTGAAGCAACTTCTTAAGTTTGATGAGATGAAAGCTACTGCGTTCCTGCTTCCCGAGATTGAAGAAGATTGGTGCTCTTTCCATAATCTTGTGCAGTCGTCACTAAAACATGTATCTGAAATATGTATGTTGTACATTGCTATTACATCAGCATACTATATTGTCTTACTAGTAATCATCCGCCGACAATATTCATTGCTCCATCAGTCTGGAATTTTTCTGGTACAGTAGAGTGGCATTAGTAATAGGTGTCTTTTTTTCAGATGAAGATATACTAGATTCAGTGCACCGGTATCGGCCCAAGTTTTTGTCTACATCTAATGGCCTTCCATCCTACTATGATCCTTATGAATTTGAGCATAAATGCCTCCTTACATGTCAACAACCAAATGAAGATACAGATGCTCTTGCTACAGATGATAAGCACCTTGAGCCATCTAGTGAAACAATGAAATGTATCGCTGTACCTTTTGTTGCTCCAAATAACTTCCAAAACAACGATGTGGCAAAAAAGTTGGCAACCATAATCAAACAGGTCCTCTCATCTGCATACCTCTTGTGCATTTTCCTTCACATGATCATTCCCTTACTTCTCACGTTTTGCAGATACGAGTCCAGCATACAGAAGATATATCTAGTAATCAGGATTTAGATGTTGATGATGGCTATCATGTCAATGGGGAGGCTTCTATTTGTATATATTTTGTTAATGGATCCTGCAACAAGGGCAGTCAATGCCTGTTTTCTCATTCACTTAAAGCAAAGAGACCCCCATGCAAATTTTTCTATTCTGCCCAGGTATAAAAAATTCACAGCTTTAGTCAATTCTATGTGGCCTTTTAAGATGTTTGTATAGCTATCTCTTTGGTACTTGTATAGTTATGGGATGTACATAGTTTTAAATTGTTAAAAGTTTTGGGATGACATTTACTGTTATTGTCCTTGGCACTCTCTGATCTGTTTCAAGATTAGGCATTTAAAAGGTGAAATTATGGAGGAATTTTCAGAGAATGATTTCTTAAGGTTTATCTTCTATAGAAGTTCTAGGAAGTTAATTGTTACTGTGATGCATAACTGCAGACTTATGGTTAAAGGCTTGTAATTATAATGCAACGGATTAATATCTTCCGTTTTATGACACTAGGAGTTGTTAAGAATTGGTGGGGCTGCCTGGCTGAAAACTTGTCTTATGCAGCACAACATTCTTTGATAAATTTTTGGCTTGAATATCAACTTTCTGAGTACTGCCTAGTCGCATACCTTGCTTGTGGTATAATATCTATTTTCTTTCTAATAATTACAGGGTTGTCGATATGGAGCATCATGCTTCTTTTCTCATGATGAGAGTTCATCAGTGACATCATCTAACTCAACTCTATGCCTGCCAGAAGGTGGAGAAGCCAAAGCTACATCGCTTATACGATTGTTGCCCACTGATGGATGCATTCTCTTATTGGATGACACCAATCTACAATTTTCCTCAAATTTTGCTAGACATTATGATCCATCAAAAATAGTTTCTACCACTAGTTTGTCAGACACATCCATATTTGACTCATCACTGACTGGTGTCAAAATTTTGTGGGGGCTCTATCATCCGTATGGGACAATCATTTCCAAAGCAGGGGAGAGCCAAATCCCATGGAACGAAGTTAAGTGTGTGCTATGGTTTCCTAATTTTGATAGCTACAGTGAGAACTTAGATAGACAGAAGCTTCTCTTGCAGAATTTCTTCGAGTATCTTGCCGTCCGAATGCTGGCTGATGACTTGGACAATGTGCGAGTTATTCTCACTATGAACAATATCAGGTTTGCACAGCTGCAGGTAATAATAACACTGCAAACTGTTTGCATCCCTGCTAATTTTTTGTAGAAATAGCAAATTTAAAGAGATGGCAAAGACTTTCTGTATCGAACAACTCGCTTATTTGGTTGCAGTGCGCGCTACTCGGCACATGCACATTACACATTGCACCTTGCACCTTGCACCTTGCACTCACAAGTTTATTTAAATTATTTTGAAAATCTATTTCTTGGTGTCTGCAGTGTCAACTTGCTGTTCTGATACATGTATAATAAACATGTACATAACATAGAGGAGAAGGATGAGGGTTTGATCTTACATAATAATAACGATGGTTGTGTGATGTTTTAAGGCATTTGGTTATGATCGTTTCAGGTGGAAAAGTTGGGCAGGGAGAGCTTCTTCTTCCTTACAGAGTCATTTCCATTTGATGACGCCAGCTTTGGGGAGTTGCCAGACAAAGTCAGCACAAATAAGCCGATGATGGTTTCGAGGCCCATTTCGTACGTTTTTGACTTGCACCCACCTTCAGACATTCAGTTTGGTGACTATGCAGCCGGACTTCACAGTTTTCTTCACCATGAGATCCAGGAAGATGTGTAAAAATTCATCATCTGCTGAACCTGTATAATAAGCTTTACTTGTTACTAAGATTTGGCAGTCGGATTATCGATAGATATTACCTTTTCTTACTTAGGTGTTCAAATGTTCCCTATTTACCCATATTCTGAACTTTCTGTTTTCCTAGTTATAATACTCCTCATCAAACTCTGGAAGTATATTTTTGATAAACAATTTTTGCTCAAAATAGAAAATGATTTTTAAACTCACGCTTCTCTTTTACAAATTTGTCTTAAATTTGACAAATTCCAAATCTGAAATAGATATGAAGATTTAAATTTTGCAAACGCGAGGTTCAGTGTGAAATAAGGGACTTCAGGTGAATGCGGTAACGAATGTTGTAAAGTGATTTATCAACTTTTTACTTTGGCCTTGTTAAAGGATGAGGGCCTGACACGTGTTAAGGTGGGTCACATTACCCGCACTTACCAGGAAAAGACAAACGAAAATGATAAAGTGATTTAGTAATTAATTTATTTCTAAGAAATCTGTTAGAAATGCGAAGCTCCTGGAATGCAAGTAGCTGAAGCTGATCTTCTTCATCTCCACGTTTGTACGCAAGGCTGTAAACCCTAAACCCTCACAGAATTCCCATTATAAAACAAAATCCTATGTCACACAAAGCCCTAGAACCCCGGCACCCAATCGATTCGTGCGCATTTCAGCTCCATAGCTGGAGACCTTTTCAGCTGCATCAACAGACAACACCTACCTCCAAAGCCCTAGACTCCGATCCCTCCCTCCCCAACCCCAAACCCTACAACTCCTCTTCCAATGGCCTGGTGGTCCACACCAAGCGTCCCTGCCTATCCAACCGAGCGACGTCGTTTTCAATCGACGCCATCGACATGTCTCGGTTCTATGCAGCCGGACTTCACAGTTTTCTTCATCATGAGATCCAGGAAGATGTGTAAAAATTCATCATCTGCTGAACCTGTATAATAAGCTTTACTTGTTACTAAGATTTGGCAGTCGGATTATCGATAGATATTACCTTTTCTTACTTAGGTGTTCAAATGTTCCCTATTTACCCAAATTCTGAACTTTCTGTTTTCCTAGTTATAATACTCCTCATCAAACTCTGGAAGTATATTTTTGATAAACAATTTTTGCTCAAAATAGAAAATGATTTTTAAACTCACGCTTCTCTTTTACAAATTTGTCTTAAATTTGACAAATTCCAAATCTGAAATAGATATGAAGATTTAAATTTTGCAAACGCGAGGTTCAGTGTGAAATAAGGGACTTCAGGTGAATGCGGTAACGAATGTTGTAAAGTGATTTATCAACTTTTTACTTTGGCCTTGTTAAAGGATGAGGGCCTGACACGTGTTAAGGTGGGTCACATTACCCGCACTTACCAGGAAAAGACAAACGAAAATGATAAAGTGATTTAGTAATTAATTTATTTCTAAGAAATCTGTTAGAAATGCGAAGCTCCTGGAATGCAAGTAGCTGAAGCTGATCTTCTTCATCTCCACGTTTGTACGCAAGGCTGTAAACCCTAAACCCTCACAGAATTCCCATTATAAAACAAAATCCTATGTCACACAAAGCCCTAGAACCCCGGCACCCAATCGATTCGTGCGCATTTCAGCTCCATAGCTGGAGACCTTTTCAGCTGCATCAACAGACAACACCTACCTCCAAAGCCCTAGACTCCGATCCCTCCCTCCCCAACCCCAAACCCTACAACTCCTCTTCCAATGGCCTGGTGGTCCACACCAAGCGTCCCTGCCTATCCAACCGAGCGACGTCGTTTTCAATCGACGCCATCGACATGTCTCGGTTGACCTTGGTAGACGACGACAGGACGATCTCCGGTGGCCATCACAATAAGCACGGCAGCTTTCGATTCATTGCGAAGAAGAGGCGGCGCCACGGGTCCAGGTCAGTTTCGGGTCGGAGCAGCGATCGGAGTGGGACCCGGAGGTGCTGCTCGGTCGGGGCTTCGGCTGCGTACGGTACGTGCTCGGATTTTCCGGTGGCGGTGGGTACGGACTCCAGTGGTGAGCTGTTTGGGAATGGGGATGCAAATTGGGCATCGGATGTGAGTGAAGCTAGGAATTCGAGGAAGGAGAGAGATGGAGGGAGTGGAGAGAAGGAGAATCTGGGTATTGGGTTTGGGCCTATTGGGGGTTTTGATGTTCAGGGGAATGAGTCCGGGTACGGCAGTGAACCGGGTTACCGAGGGGATGCGGAGTTCGGGTACGGCGATGAGCTTGATGAGGAGGAGGAGGATACTCGTCTGTTGTTTTGGGGTGATCAATTTGGAGGTACATTTTGAACAAACGTTGTTTCATTTGAAGCACGATGAAGCATTGCAGATTTTGTGCAAAATTTTAGTTTCATTCTAGTAAAATTTCCTTATAGTTGTAGATTGGTGAATTATATATACATATCTTTAGTTCTCTGCAGTGTATTCTAGTTTCGATATTCAAGTTTGCTTGGTAGATAGAATCTGAACATAGACTTTGGCAGTAGGATCTTTGTTGGAACTTCGAATATAAATGGATAAGGTAGGTGGCATCACCAGTGATGCACATGGTAGGCAGTAATCAGAAAAGTATTAACAAGCAAAGCCATAGTTTTATTTTCTAGTCAGGATTGAAGTGAATTTGACTGACTTTCCTTCTTGTACTTTGGTGATAGTTTCATAACACCGTAGACCGTAGTTCTATACTCTATCAGTATGATTGCTGGCACTAGTTTAGTTTCTGTACATGGGTGTGAATTTGTGGGGTTTACCATTGTTCTTTCATTTTTCGAATATGTATCGCCACTGGACAACAGCATTATGATCTAAGTTGAAAACCCTCAACAGATGTTCATGTTTCACATTCTTTGTCTGAATGCGTAGACCATTGGTTTTGCTGTTATCGGCTTGTTTATATAATTTATTCTTCTTTATCAGTTATCAACTCTATTAATTATCAATTTTATTCCCGGCTACATAGGTAAATGGTGCCGCTATGGATATGAGAAAAAAGAATAAGGGACCAGTAGAAGAAGAAGAATAGCATAAAGTAGTTTAGGAGATTACAGAATCTTCTACTTTGCTTACGTCTTTTGATTATGTTATGTACATGCATTCATGAGATTCTGAATTTTGGTTTTCCAAGTCATTTGATTCAACTGTAGATATGCTGATGGGTCCTTTTCTTGCTCCAGATGCGGATTCCATGATGGAGATTGTGGGGGAAAATACATTTGTCGATCAAAAATCTCATCACAGATGTCGGCGTAAGAAGCACGACTGCAGAATGGTTGATTCGCTGAGGTAACCGAATCAGTTGGAGAATACAAAAGGCGTCTTTATATCATCTAGGCATTAGCTTTCTATTGAGAAGGATGTCGGCCCCTGGATGGAATCCGTGTATGCATGATCTAATCACTGCGTGACCACTTTCTGTCACTTCTGAGGTCCATTTTGATAGTGAGAGGGTTTGGTATATATATCATGGAATGGTTTTGGATTCATTTCGCGATGTCGCTTACTGTAATTTATGCTTAAAGGATTTTGACTGTACATTGTAGTATAGTGTGTTATTCCCAAAATTGCCAACTGATTGGAAATTTTCATTAATATGTACATTGTGAAAAGAATGTCTTCTGCTATTTTTGTGTTTCTGAGTTCAGATCAGATATAAGAAATGCTTTTTCTTAGATGTGTGTTTTTTTTTATTTTTGGGTTCTTTACTTTTGTCCCTCTCTCTCTAGTCTGAACTTTAGAGAAAAATAGATAAAAAGCCCACATCCCTATATACTGGCTTAACAATTATTGACTGGCCCAAAATAAAACCAGGTTGCTGAAAAGTGTGAAGTTCACTAAAGTAGCCCATGCATCATATCTAAAGAAGACTGAGGCCCTGTGGGATGACAAGACGACATCGTTTTGTTGGGGTGACCAAGTACTGCACTAGTAGTAGCTTAAAATTTTCAAAACACGGCCTGAAGCAGAGAGAGGAGACTGAGGGGGAGAGACGGGGCTGAGATGGCGAGAGCAGAGGCATTGAACGCGTACAGGGCGCTGCTAAGAGCGACTCGGAAGTCGTTCGCCGGAGACACACCGATGCTAAACGGGTCGGCGGCGGAGGTCCGCAAGAAGTTCGAAGAGAATAGGCACGTGACCTCGGATGTGGAGATCCAGAGACTCCTGGAAGAGGCACGTGAGGCCTCCCTTTTCATCACCCAAATGATCGTCCAGGCTAAGCTCAATTCTCGTGGCGGTTACGGTAAACTTTCGTTTCCAATGAAATCATCTCTCTTGTTAATAAATCCCATATCGAATTAACCAGTAGTTTTTGTATGTCGTTGAATGCCCTTGTCATGCCTTGAAGGTGTTTGTTAAATTGCTCCTTTGGCTGCTTTCCTATACTTTTGTTTACCATTTGCTTGTTTGCTTTTATTGTTGTTATGTCGAAATCTGATAACCTTTTGTGCCAATGACAATGAAGCTCCAATAAGATGGCTACTTAGATTTAGCTTTGAATTTTATGAGAAAGCTTCCAAACTGATTTGTTTACATCCAAACATTGATTGATTTATGCAGAAGTGAAGGCAGACAAAGATCATGCGGGAGCAACGCTTGAGGTTCCTTCTGAAGAACTTCTTCCCAAGTCTTGAGAAGCAAAGGCTTTTTCACTTACAATGTATGGTGGCGTGCGGCTCGAGGGTTTTGGTGCTTTGCGGTGCCTCTTCCATTTGGTTGTCTAGAAAGTTTTCAAGAATTAGTTATAAGTTGAGCCATCGTTCTTAAACAATTTGTTGTTTTTCGATAAGTAAATGGAATGATTTCATAGATCTAATGGTCTGCATTTCACTCTATTTTCATCCTTGTTCTGAAACAGTTCATAAAAGTCCAAATTGTGAACCAAACAGCGAAAATTTATTGACGAAACCTTGAAATGTGAAAAGTCATTAGCGAAACCCAAAACTACTAATATTCATTGCATTTCGGGGTTGCATTTCGGGGTTGCGCAAATGAAAAGTCATTAGCGAAACCCAAAACCACTAATAAACTTTCGCAAATGAATTTTTCATTTTTTGGGGTTTCACAAATGAATTTTCTTATTTTTGGGCTTTTTGAATGAATTTTTAGCATTTTGGGGTTTCAATAGTGAATTTTCGCATATCGAGGTTTTGCAAAATGAATTTTCAATGGTGAAACATTAGAAATGCAAAAATTTATTAGCAAAAACCCAATGTGCGAAAATTCATTGGCAAAATGAGAAAAGGCAAATATTCATTAGCGAAACCCCAAACTGTGAATACAAAACCTAGAAATCCGAAAATTCTTTTGTGAAACCCTAAACTCTAAAAATTCATTCATAAACCCCCAAAAAGCGAAAATTCATTTGCTTAACCTCAAAATGCAAAAGTTTATTAGTGAAACCCTAAGATGCAGAAATTTATTAATGAAACCCCAAACTGTTACTCAAATTGCCAAAATTCACTAGTGAAACCTCGAAATGTGAGAGGTCATTAGCAAAACCCCAAACAATGAAAATTCTTTGACAAAATTCTAAAATGCGAAAATTCATTAGCTAAACCTTAAAAGACAAACATTCATTCATGAAACCTAAAAACACGAAAATTCATTTGCTTAACCCTAACATGCAAAAATTCATTGGTGAAACCCTTAAATGCGAAAAATTCATTAAAGAAACTCTATAAAAAATCATTTTGCAAAACCCCAAAATGAGAAAATTCACTAGTGAAACTCCAAAATGTGAATATTCATTTGCGAAACACCGCCGATTTAGCCAATTTGAAAATTGCAATTTTGAATGAAGAAATTATATTGTTGAGCTCAACCTACACATTTTCCAACTTGAACAAAACGAAAACTGAGTTACATGACCGTTATTGGTGCTACAAAACATATCTATTGATGAGTGCACAAAATTTCGGTCCTCACAAAGAATGCACACATCCAAATTCTCCACCATTACAAATGGCTTGTCAAGTACAAAAGAAAAGACAGACTGTCTCCAATCTAGCCCTGAGCTTCGGAAGTGGCTAGTCTTCCTCAATATCTTCACCATCTTCTTCGTCATTTTCTTCATCTTCCACATCATGTTCATCATCATCATTCTCCATATCTTCATGGTTGTCTTCGGTTTTCTTACCATCACCATTTCCTGAAGAACATGAGATAAATAAAAGGCTGAGCAAACATATATCACTCACGCTTATCTTAATCAATATAAAAGTGCACTTTGTAACGATTCACACCGAAAAAGAGAAAAGGGAAGGCAGAATGATTAACATACCAAACTCATTGAAGATGACTCCACCAGAGCACAATCCTTCCTCAATCTTCATGAGCTGAAGAGTCATCCTGGGTCCTATCTCTTGGAGCTTGACAGCACTTTTTGTAGAAGCCCGATTGACCCTCCCGAGATCACTAGCCAAAGTAACTGTTGCTGCTTCATCATCTGCTTCACTTTCTGATCCATAGCCAGCCCTTCAGAATTGACAGAAAAAAGAAAGAAGATAAAATGACCAAGTTTAGTCCACCTTCTAACTGCAAAACATGCAGAAGTCTATATTCCTGTTCATTATCTTTTCTATATTGCACTTCATTACGGTCCCTTTATTTTTTATTTTTTCCCTAAAAGCATTCGAAGACGATATCACCACACTAAAACACCATGAAAACAACCTTGAGAAATCATATAAATTCATGCATGACGTATTAACCATACGACTGAAGGAATCAATCCAATTGCAAAATCGAATAAGATGAATTTAATGGCAGATCAGATTTCTGCATTCTTTACCAAACTTACTTAAGATATATTTGAAGGCATACCAGATCATAAGAGCATTCTTTAGCAAACGTACTTAACATTTCTAGCTATCAACTCTAGCAATCTAGTAGAGTTTCCCTAACTTGATCCACAGTGAGAACTCAGTGGACCTCAAAAAACTGTTGAATCAGATACTCTTTGAACAAAAAATTTATCCTCTCATTTTCCCTTCCAAGCTGATTTAAAATTCCTCAAATCCAACAATATAAAACTAAATAACTAACAGTAAGAAAATCATCTTACTTTGTGACAAAATCACTCACGTCTTGAAGATTCCTTAGATCAGGGACTTGATGGTTCTGAACAAATCTTCTTAATCTGCGGGAGACACCCACAGGCTGTAATCTTATGGAGTAATGCCTGAAATCAATCAGTTTTGTGTCTTTGTTGTAATTAAGCAATACTATTCTCTGGCATGAAGAGAGTTTCACCTGAAATATTCAAATCAAAGACCACAGTAAGTTGGGGAAAAATGCTTTTGATACTGACAATTGGGTTTATATCACTTTGTGAACTAACAGTGTTAACATCAATGGATGGAAAGATGTTCTGAAATAGTATTGTTGTGAGCTTCAAATGTTGCTCTCCAGTCCCAAAACCAGAAAGAACGATCTGCCACCAAAAAAAAAAAAATAGTATACATTAAAACCCAAATTGTGATATTCTCTAATGGAACTTCACATAAGATAAATATGCCTCAGCCAAATGAAACTGATAATGCATCAACTAAACTGCAGTTTGGGAATTAACCACTCTTCTTTACCATGCACTGTTGATGTAAGAACCCCATGATCTTGGTCAAAAGATAAGAGCTTTTGCCGTTTATCTTTAGGAACCCTCCCCGGATATTTCTTACATAGGTTTTCAATATGCTTCCTCAAATTTGAGGTCCCATTTCTAGTGGAGTCTGCCGCATAGTTCATAGAGCAATACTTGCACCTAGCTCTCTTCTTAGTGGTTGCATATTTGCTCCCATCCTCTTTCACACTCTCAACCACATCTTCATATCTCTCAAAGTGGTCCCATACTTCCGATTTTTCTTTTCTTGGGCCGGAATGAGGTAATGGTGGAAGAGCACTTGATTGAGGTTGTGTTTGGGCATGAGGTGCACTTTGAGTTTGTGTTTGGGGTTGGGGTTGAGGGATGGGTAAAGTGGGTAAAGGTGTTGATGCGGATGCGGATGCGGATGTGGATACGGATGCGGATGATGAACCAACTTCACTATTAGTAGTGCCATGCACCTCTCCAAATGGGTTCAAGTTCAACTCATCCATGAATTCTTTAAGAAACCAAAAACAAAAACAAAAAAAAAACCCAACTTCAACATGATAAACAACACCTCAATTTAAAAATAAATAAATAAAAGAAACTTAAACATTTTATAATCCAACTTAAACATTTTACCACCATATATAGCATGTATTTAACACAAACTAAGCACATTATCATCAATTCATCAATTTGAATGCACAACTAATTAATCAATTTGAATGCACAACCACTATAACTTATTACACTGTTATGCACAACCAATTAATAAATATTAATCAATTTGATAAATTTCTACGGCTACCATTTTGATAAATTTGAATGCACAACTAAAGAAAGCTTATTCACAACACAAGGCAAATGTTAGCAGAATTTCTGCAGAATTCTTATTAATAACAGAGGACATTTATCCACAAAAAACAACTAAAAAATATACAGAATTTCTGCAAAACATCAAAATCTGAGAGAGAGACAGAGAGAGAAATGAAGAATACCTCAGAGAGTGGCAGAAAAGCTGCAAACTGCTCCAGAAATCTTTTGCTGATCTGCACCAACTGCTGCCAATTCAATTTCCTAAATCAATGAATTGTACTAAAGCATTATAAGTACTAAAAACAATTTCAGATTCACATGGTAAAGCCATATACAACCAATAAAATATTAACAATTTCAGAAAAATTAACAATTTCAGATTCAATCTCGCAAACAAATTGAGCAAGTAAATTTCAGATTCACATAAGCATTGTAACTTGTAAGTTACTAATAACAATTTCCAATTTGAAATACACTATGTACTATTTTTTTTCCTTAATCATGAACAGAACAGCAGCTGCAAGCAATCTGTACTATTTTTTTCCCATCCCTTTGTAAAACCCATATAATCCTAAATCAATTTGAACCACAACCCAGCAGACAATAACAAAGCTAATACTTTTATTTCTTCATTTTGTGATAGAGATATAAGATTACCAAGGGGGCATTCTTGAAAAGATCTTGAGGACATCTAGGCCGCAGTTGAGATCGAACAATATCGACTGCCAAAGAGTACTCCTGTATTTTAAATGTAAGTGTTGGGCCTTGAGGTGTCCTCGCAACCCTAAGGTAAGGTGCAGTTGGAGTTTTCGACAACATGAGGAAATGTGTAACCCCCATAGGCCCAGCAACATTCAAAAAGTCTTTAAGATTGTTCCGCCTGTTCTCCTGCAAAACATTGTGGAAAAAACTCAGTTCTTTCCTTGAGATTTTTACTTTAAAATTCATCAGCTCTTCAAATTAAAAAATTGAATCATAACACACTACCACTTCTCAATTTCTAAAAACATGAAAAACCCATGTAGCAACAAAGGCCAGAACAAATATTTTCGTACCTTAAGCTTAAGAGCAGTATAGGGAAGCATCAACTTCCTCAGATCCGCTTGAAGTTGTCTTAGAGGACCAGGCAACCTACATCTGGAAAACACAAAGCTCCTTGGGATTTTATCCCCTGTGACATGGTCCACAGTAGCCTGCTGCTTCTTGGAAACTGGTTTCACAAACACCTTCTTTTTCTATTTTGGAATTTCAATTAATAGAAAGAAAAAAAATCACTCAAAATTGAATAAACGTTTACATAACTATGAACAATGTTCAGAGAGAACAAAATTTCCTTTCTTTAGTTTTCTCGTCAACCAAACACAAGCTACAAGTTCAAGCAAACTAGATAGAAGTAAATATGCTTACATTTCGGAAGCGAGCCATGGCTTCCAAGAATATTGAGTTTCAGTGTTGTAATCTCAGCTTCGTAGCTTTGTGATTAATACTGCAAAACAAAACACACGCATTTAGCAATTTATTCTAGGGCTTCATCAGACAAATA